TACATACCAGTTTTCTTTGTTTAAAACCATTTATGTGGTTTTACCTGAGCACTGTCCATTCGTATTCCCGAATAAATCACTCTTATAAGCCGGTTAAGGCAGTTTTTTGGAGAATGTTTCCTACGTAAATGCCTGTGCATGACAATGAAATAAAACACAAACAGATTCAACAAATTCGGAGCTCCATGTGGTCAGTAGTTTTCCTATGGGCTTTGCTGCTATTGTTTACTCTCTGTGAGTATTATTAACATTTTTCTCACATAGACAACAAAATAAACTTTTATATGACATCCAACAGTCTGGGAAAGCAGTCTTGGAAAAAGGAACAATAATGATGCAAATTATGATTTTATAGTTAATTTACACCCCAGAACACACTGTAGTTTAGATGTAATAAACAGGACTGACTTTTTGTATTATTATTAAAAGCTGCATCAGGATGACCTGTATTAAAAGCAATGCAAATAGAGTACCCTTCACTAATGTTGGCACCCTTGGTAAATATGAGCAAAGGTGGCTGTGAAAAGAAATCTGCATTGTTGATCCTTTTGATCTTTCATTTTAAAAAAAATCACAAAATTCGAACCTATCATTGAAGTAAAACAATGGAAAATCTCCATTTGAAATAAATGTTTTTCTCTCACGTTGGCCACAATTATTTGCACCGAATTATTGCAACGTCTTTTGGCCAAGATAACACCTTGGAGTTTTCTCCTATAATGCCTGAATGAGTAATAATAATGAGTTTGGAGAACACCTGGCAAGAGATCATAGACCATTCTTTCAAACAGAATCACTCCAAATCCCTCAGATTCACAGCTCCATGTTGGTACTTCTACTCTTCAGTTCACCCCACTCATTTTCTATAGGGTTCAGGTCAGGGAACTACCATGGCTGAAGCTTCATTTTGAGCTCAGTGACACATTTTTGTGTTGATTTTAATGTTTGTTTTGGATCATTGTCCTGGTGGATGATTCAACCATGGCCCATTATACAATTTTTAACAGAGGCAGTTTAGATTTTTTCGTGAACAAGATATCAAAAAATAAATAAATAAATAAATAAAATGGGCCCACAACATTAAAGATCCAGCAGTATATTTAACTGTGGACATGGGGTATTTTTTATCCCTGTTTGCACCTGTTTGTGGGTTTGCTGCCAAAAAGCTCTTTTTTTAGTTTCATCTGACCATAGAAGCCAGTTCCGTTTGAAGTTCCAGTTTGGGCTGACAATTGAATTTGCTGGAGTTTGTTTTTGGATGAGCAAGGAGGATTTTTCTTGAAACCCTCCTGAACAACATGTGGTAATGTAGGGGCGGTTTGATATTTTTTAGGTTTCTGACCCTAAGACTCAACTCTTGCCTTTGCTCATATTTTACAAAGAGTGCCAATATTAGTGGAGGGCACCATGAGTTGGTCATCCTGAGCAGTAGATCAGATTTTTATCTCAAACAGACAGTAGTTCCTCTATCTGTGCTTCTACATTCACATCATTCACTTAGCTTGTGCTTTTATCACTTCCTGAGGAACAATATACTTTAGTATAGTAACTGGCAATTGAAACATTTTCTGTTCGCATAAAAATGGCTTAAGTGAGAAAGATATGTCACTAAAGAGTATGGCGGGCAGGTTACATACTATAGAACGTCTTTTAATTATTTACACCAATTAGCATCATAGTGCTGTTATCAATCAAATGAAAACAGTATCATCAAAATCCATCTTTGCACTACAGAGGTGGCACAGAAACTGCATCTGAAGTGGCGTTGAGGTGTATTTACACAGACTGTTTAATGCAGCTCAGTTGTAATGAATGCATTTACACTCCATTTATAATTGTATAAATGATGTTATGAGATTAATGTTTTTAAATGAGATTAATGAGATTACTACATAAAAAATTTGAATATAGAAATGGAATTAAATTAATTTGTTCACTGGCTGATTCATTCATGAACCAAGTGTCATCAACCCAATTCATTCAAAAATGCTGAATCAATTAAGAACCAGGCGATAAAACAGTAAAAATTGATAATTTTGTGTGTGAAATTGTCAGTTAGATAAATTAAACTTTGTTTTGCAATACAATTTTTTAAACAGGAAAAACCTGCAATTATTCTTATACAGGTGGACATTTTGTTAGGGAGTCTTTACTGCCGATGCAAAATGAATAGTCATTCTCAACCTTTGATATCACTTGCTGTCTGCAAATTGTGGTTTGAGGTTAAAGGTCTGATGTACCAAAAATGTTTTTGCATGAGGTGGGTAGAGACTATGTAAACTCAGAATGAGTAGTTCTGAAAAACTAGTGGTAGATAGTATGTTTCACATTTACTTTCAGTTCCAACTTCATCAACAAGCAAAGACAGAATGCCGTTCTTCATTAGGCTACTTATTTGTTATGGTCATCTACATTGGATTTCTTATTTGGTGTTATGATTTTAAATGTTCAGTTGAGATCAAGTCACTTTGAAACCATCTGCTAAATGCATAAATGAAAATGTGAGGAAAAGGATTTTGTCACATTATGATGTCACAGTGCAACGAAAGCCCGCCTCTGCAGAATCAAATCAAGGCCTACTTCTACATCATCATGTCTTTGGCCCTGCCCACTGGAGCGTTAGTGAGATGAGAAAGAGAAGAACAATGCAGGACCACTGGACCAGGGGCGTAGATTACGCGGGGGACGTGTCCCCCCCACTTTTAATATCACGTAAATTCGTCCCCCACACTTTTTCGGGCAAGTGTGTTCGCATAGAGGTTTTCAAGAGCTGGTGTGAATAAATATAGATTTAAATTCAAAGAGACAGGAGAGTCTGTGCATGATCTGATGTTTTATTCGGACACAGAATAAGCCGAGATGAACATCGCGGAGGGCAAAACACTCCATGCAGTGTATGTTTCATTCTCTGTCCCCCTCACTTCTGAAATGATGGCTACGCCCCTGCACTGGACTAAAAATAACATTACATTCCAAAGGATCCTAATCCTAGGAAGTACTTATTTATTTTCTGATATGTAATGATTCGTGTTCAGTCAGTGTCACGGTGCGTGTGAAGAGATGAAGCGAGGACTCAAGTGCAGGATGAATGGTTCTTTCTTTAATAATAAAATGAAACAAAAACAAACTAAAACAATCCCGAGGGGGAAAAACAGACAGCCAGGCTCGGAACTGCACTACATGCAGACATAACACACACAATGAAAAACGACGGATCAGCACAGGATTACAAGAATAAATAGGAAACCAGATGAGGAGATTAGCTAGGGAGACACAGGTGGAGCAACTTAAACAATAATGAGGTAACAAGATGGGCGGGGCAAGACAATAGTCAGGAGAGAGCACATGGCACCAAACAAACACAACACAAGCCATGTGCTCACAGAAAACAGTGTCATCTGGTGGCCATCATGGGCACACCCGCTGAAGACTGTGACAGTCAGGAGGTGTTCTTTCTCTCAAAGTCATTTATTGCTGTTTATGTGTCAGTAAATCAAGCCAATGCCTTAACAGTCAACTACACATTGTTTCTGTTAGTAGCATGAAAATAATAAGTTATTTAATTTGTGATTAAATTATATACAGAAAGCAATCAAAGAATGCTCCCTTTATAATCGCTATAGCTGTCAATCACACAGCACCATTTTATATTCAATGACGTAGTCTACACTGCACAATGAATCTCTTATTTACATCGTGTTTGCACTGTTAGTTATGATGAAAGCATCTGTGAAAATATTAAACTTGAGTTGCAATGACGACATCCGCTACAGTGCTCATCGCTGCGATCTTTCATGCGACGGGATATAATGCTATAATCAACACTTTCCATGATTAGTTAATCTCAACAGATGTAATAGTACACTCTAAAAAATGCTGGGTTAAATACAACCCAGTGCTGGGTAAAATAGGGACAAACCCAGCAATTGGGTTGTTTTGAACCAGCGGTTGGGTTACTACCCAGAAGGTTGGGTTAAACATTTAATCAAACCGCTGGGTCAAAATAGCCCAATTGCTGGGTTTGTCCCTATTTTACCCAGCACTGGGTTGTATTTAACCCAGCATTTTTTAGAATGTAAGAACCTAGGAAAAGTTTTGGAGAGAGCTACACATTTAATGCTTATTTCATATGCAAAGAAGCCATTCATAGCAAGGGACGTTTCCATTGAAGTCTCACAGCAGACACGCCCCTTCCACCAGAACATTCAAATCAGAATGCTAAAATCAGGGTTAGGGTTAAAATCATACTAACATAATAAGTGCACTTCAGGAAACATTATCAAATAATTTTTAAAAAAATGCAGTTCATGACCCCTTTAAAAATATGGGTTCCATTCTTTCCAGTGTTTCAACTGAAGTGAAAGTATAGTAAAAGTGAAAGTAAAAATAAAAATAAACATTTCTTCTGCTTGTCATACAGCACTTGGTAAAGATTCTCCATCAGGTTCATTTCACTTTACCAGGTACAGTTGACTACCAAACATGAGAGGCCAAAGCTTGAGATGCATCTGTGGTCACACAAATGTAAGAATAATAAAAAAAGATAAGCTTATTCATGTAACTTCCCCATAACTGCTATTCTCCACTGATAAATTTGAATAATGTACATAATGCCAAGCACTTAACAATTATTTTTGTTCTAAACACAGGAAGATTGAATTTATAACCCATGTTGTGAGTTTAGACGTGTGATGCTGACAGGAGGGATGAGGTTAAAAAAAAGAGCAAGATTCACTGTCACAAGGTCCCAAAAATGTGCTTTAGTGTGGTGAAATACTCCTCTTGATATGTCATGTATCTCATCATAGTAAATATGAGACCACAAGGTGGTGCCTGCAGTCACAGAGTATTTTGGATATTAGACAGAAAATGGTAAGTGGTAACTACTCCTCCCCTACAACCTACAACTCACTTCCGATTTGCTGACTACCTTAACTGACAAGGTATATGACACCAGAGTACAGCAATACATACACACATCTCTGCAGAGCATAGGCAGTTACAACCAAAATCCAATAATCAGAAGAATGGACCCCAGCCAGTCTTTCTATCAGCCTCCAGGGGCCTACAATTCATCTGAGAAATCAGTTATGTTGCAGTCAGCTGCAGCACCACCAGCATACCAGGACAATCCTGCTGGATATCCTCCTTCCATTCCAAGCCAGCCGGTCCCCCAGGGCCCCTACGTCCAGGGGCCGTATCCAGGACAAACTGTGGTTGCTGTTCAGCCTGCAGTTTTTGTGACTGCCGCTCCACTGGCCAATCCAGCGCCAGATTACCTGGGTTATTCCATCTTTACCATGCTGTGCTGCTGTTTTCCTCTGGGCATTGCTGCGCTGGTTTACTCCTGCTCTGTAAGTATATTAGTCCATGTGCTTTCCTTTTCTTTATGAACTAGAAGTTCAAGATTATTTATTTATTTATTTATTTTGGCCCTTTAACAGCCACAAATAAAATGTATATATGCATATATATATATATATATATATATATATATATATACACACACACACACACACATATATATATATATATATATAATTTTTCAATATTTTTTTCTTTGTGTGGCTGTTAAGCCGTTAATTTTATATATATATATAAAAAATTTATATATACATTTATTTTTGAATACTGCTGTGATTTATTTTTTTAACCTAACTTCATAACTAAAAAAGGAGATACAATTAGGAGATGAAAAGATAAAAAGGAGAGGCTAAAGCCTCTGTGGTCACACAGTATGTATGTAAATAAGACAAGTTAATTCATGTAATTTTCACATAACTTCCATGCTCTACCGATAAATGCATTGGTTCAGTTTTTTGGTTTCCCGTAAATGACTGTCCGTTGTAGAGAAAGGTGTGGTGCTGGAGACCCCCTCAACAGCAACAGACTTAGAACTTTAAAAAGTTCTTATTTTACTATTTCAGTATTTCTGTTTAAAAATTTCAAGTTTATTTCAACATGATACTTGCAGCTTCTTTGTAGCCTAATTGTGAAAATAGTTTTAACCATTTAACCTAACCATTTTTTTTTTCAGTGTAGCACTTACCATAGTTTAATTTCCTTCCTTAAAGGAAATCTCCTAAATCTAAACAAAGAAACGGCAGTTAACGCAATGGGTTAAACTTGACATTTGAAGTTGAGCTTGATGGTTCAGGTGTGTTACAACTGGGTTAAAACTAATGGCAAACTGTTTTATGCTTTTGTTCTGGTAAATTTTTTATTAATTAATAAATTTTTTATGAAAAAATTATTTTGCGAAATCACCGACAAATGCCCGAAATCGGAGGCAAATCGGTGCTCGTTCACGCGAGTGACAATCATGCAGTGTGAATTATCAAAGACGCGATCTGAGGGAATCACCGACACGTCGCCGACGCCCGCAAAATATTTGGCATGCTAAATATCTGGAGCTGTCGGCGATTCACAATCACGCTGTGTGAAATGAGTTCTGACTGAAAAACACATGGGCGATGACCTACAGCCAATGAGAGACCAAGATACAGGGCAGAGGGAAGTTCGGGGAGGAGTTATAGACCAGAATATCAGTATTTTAATAGATATATGAACAATTATATCATACAGAAACAAGCACAAACATTTGCTTGATCAGCCACAACATCAGCATAACAGTTAGTGCAAAATTATTTACCTCCAACTCTCTTTGCAGAACACCCAATCCCTGTTCTTTTTCTTTTTTTTTTCTTTTTCTCCTTGTAGCTGGAAATCAGCTCCCAGACAATTTGCGGGCTATATATATATTTTTTAATAATTTCAGTCTCGCTCGAAAACTCCGGTCTGACGCAGGCGGGTTCTCGCGTTATTTCCTTATCACTTCTCGCGTGTGTTTTGTTGTGAAACATAGTTTGCAGACCAGACAGAGCTGTCAGCGATTCTTCCTATTGTGAAGTCATGCAATGTGAAACCCCCTGTCGCCGATCCATCGTGCAATGTGAACACAGTAGCAACTGAATGCTACCCCAGATAGTCACGCAGTGTGAAAACAATGGCGATCCGACGAGTTTGAAAATCGTTCAGTGTGAACTCGGCATAACCCCTGCCCCTAAACCTACCCGTCACTGGGATGTAGACAAATCGTACAAAATCATATGAGTGAGGTCGTACGAATTCGTACGAATTAGCCACCTCGTAAAATACGTACGAATTGGTCGTGAGATAGCATTGGTATACCACCTACACCTATGTTGGTGTGACTTTGTTTTAATAAATAAACATGAACATATCATGCATGTTGGCATAATGCAAGGTAGTGTTTAAAAGACTTTTAACCTGGAAGCCCTCCATCAAATGAAACTCAAACAAACTCTACAGAGTGGAGTTTACTCCCTCTTTTGAGAACTTCCCCATCTGCCATTGACTCAAAGAAACTCAGAATGAGAAGAGTAGTTGTTGACATTATATGTTTCACAATTGTTTTCACAGACTCGAGATGCCAACTACTCAGGATGGCGAGAATTAGCAGAGAAGAACTCAAAAACGGCACGCACCCTGAATCATGTCGCTGTTGCTCTTGGCCTCATTATCATTGTAGTGTATATTATCTATTACTTTGTGTTGATTAACAATATGAATCAGCGTAATTAACTGTTAGAGCTGTCATGGTTGGATGCAGATTATACAAACAAATTTATTTCTCTTCATTTTAAATGTTATTTGCTTAATGTGTCACATTTCACACAGTTAAAACATGCTGCAAAGGCTGATTATTGGATGTTTAAAACAATAAAAGCTTGTCAAACAAAAAAAACTACTTTTTTGTTTTTGTTAGGGTTAGGGTTTAAACTAAACACAGGAACATGACAGGAAAATGACCAAATAAGGAAACACAGAAAGGCACATGAGGAGCAAAACACACACAAAACACGGACCAGAGTCTGACATAAATCCCCCCTCCCGGAAGGCGCGTCCCGCACTGTACAATATCCAACGGGGAGGAGGGATGGGCGGATACGGCAGTTCGGGGCACCATGGTGGATCTGGCAGCTCTGGGCGCCATGGCGGATCTGGCAGTTCGGGGCGCCATGGCGGAGCAGGTGACTCGGGAGGCCATGGCGGAGCAGGGAGCTCGGGGAGCCATGGCGGAGCAGGTAGTTCAGGAGGCCATGGCTAAGCAGTCTCCGAGGCCGCGGCCCCAGCCCCCACCTCGGCCTCTACGGCTGGAGCCCTACTACCCCCCCTCCAAAAAAAATACTTGGGGACGCTTACGGGTTCCGAGGCCCTCCGTGAGCCATGACAGGGGACTGGAGCCCTCCCTGGGCTTAACTGGGGATCCGGAGCCCTCCCTGGACTTAACTGGGGATCCGGAGCCCTCCCTGGGCTTAACAGGGGATCCGGAGCCCTCCCTGGGCTTAACTGGGGAACAGGAGCCGTCCGTGGGCTATACTCGGGAACAGGAGCCCTCCGTGGGCTATACTCGGGAACAGGAGCGCTCCCTGGGCTCGACGGGGAATCAGGAGCCCTCTGTGGGCTATACTTGGGAACAGTAGCCCTCCGTGGGCTATACTCGGGAGCGGGAGCAGGAGCCCTCACTGGAGCGAGCTCCGGGGCTGGAGCCGGCACTGGAGCGAGCTCCGGGGATGGAGACGGCACTGAAGCGAGCTCCGGGGATAGAGACGACACTGGAGCGAGCTCCGGGGATGGAGACGACACTGGAGTGAGCTCCGGGGTGGACAGCGGGCCTTTCTTCAGAGCGGCCGGTGGGTTTGACTCGGGAGCGGCCGGCGGGCTTGGGTGAGCCACGGCCGGCGGGCTCGACTTCAGAGCGGCCGGCGGGCTTGGGGGAGCCACGGCCGGCGGGCTCGACTTCGGAGCGGCAAGCAAACTTGACTCTGGAGTGGCTTGTGGGAGCCGTGGCCGGCAGACTTGACAACGGCGCGGCCGGCGGGCTTGTCTTCGGAGCGGCCGGCAGGCTTGAGTGAGCCGTGGCCGGCAGGCATGATAACAGTGCGGCCGGCGAACTTGACTTCTGAGCAGCCGGCGGGCTTGTCTTCAGAGCGGCCGGCGGGCTGGAGTGAGCCGCGGCCGGTGGGCATGACAACGGCGCGGCCGGCGAACTTGACTTCTGAGCGGCCGGCGGGCTTGAGTGAGCCGCGGCCGGCAGGCATGACAACGGCACGGCCGGCGCACTTGACAGCAGGGCGGTCCTCATACCGCTGGGAGAAGAAAATGGATAACAAAAGATGACAAAAAACGGAAATAAAAACATGGGAGAAGGGGCGCTGCTTACTGTCTTGGTCTGGTCTTCTGTCAGGACACACACACGAGGATAACCGGAACTAAGGAGCAAGGAGACGAGGAATATACGAAACAGTCTTTAGGAAACACATCCACGTAACGAGTAGTTCGGACAAAAGGGAAACTGAACAGGCAAGAACTTAAATACAAGGGTAATTAATAGAACACAGCTGAACGGAATCATAATTAAACTAAACAAGGACAGGAAAATGACCAAATAAGGAAACACAGAAAGGCACATGAGGAGC